ATATATATATAATATATATTATATATATATATATATATTGCACGAATAAAATTTGACAAAAAAACGAAAAATCATTTTTTCACCTGCAAATCAAGTACCATCTCCCACCTACACGCACCTACATAAATTAATATCACACCACCTACAGTAGTTACACACCACCGGTACTCCAGTCATACACCACCTACTCTATTTACGCACTACTTACCACCCATACACACCATGTACACCTACCTGCCTTCTGTAGTAAGACATCGCGTCTCACCCCTACGCAACACCTATACCCACGTACTCCCACCTACCTGGGTGTCGGAGAAGTCAATGTTGGTGCGGACGGTGCGGTGATGGGCAGACTGCAGCGGCCGGAAGTTGTTGGCTACCGGAGCGTTTCTTCGGAAGTCAGACGAACCTTGCTTGAGTCGTCTCAATCCCCGCATCTGACCACAAATACAAGTCTCGTTAGACGCAATATCTGCGCATCACTCCTCAGGGGATATGACTTATACACAATATCTTGATGAGGGAATTACTAGTGATATGAGCAAATTCGCCGATGACACAAAGATAGGTAGGATAATTGATTCAAACGTAGATGTTATGGAACTTCAGGAGGATTTAAACAAACTCTATTCTTGGTCAGAAAAGTGGCAGATGCAGTTCAGTGTAGATAAATGCAAGGTTCTGAAGCTTGGGAGTGCCCATAACCCTAGTACTTATAAGTTAAATGATGTAGAACTTAGCCATACAGATTGCGAAAAGGACTTGGGGGTTATGGTGAGCAGCAACCTTAAACCAAGACGGTAATGCCTAAGCGTACGTAAAAAGGCAAATAGATTACTGGGATTTATATCAAGAAGTGTAAGCAACAGAAGTCCAGAGGTCATACTGCAGCTTTATACATCATTAGTAAGGCCTCACCTAGATTATGCAGCTCAGTTCTGGTCTCCATATTACAGAATGGACATAAATTCGTTAGAAAACATTCAGCGTAGGATGACTAAATTAATACATAGCATTAGAAATCTTCCTTATGAAGAAAGATTGAAGACTCTTGAGTTTCATTCACTTGTTAGACGAAGAATGAGGGGAGACCTGATCGAAGTGTATAAGTGGAAGATAGGTATTAATAAAGGGGATATTAATAAGGTCTTGAGGATGTCTCTCCAAGAGAGAACCCGCAGTAATGGATTTAAATTAGATAAGTTTAGATTTAGAAAGGACATAGGAAAGTATTGGTTTGGAACTAGGGTAGTTGATGAGTGGAACAGTCTACCTAGTTGGGTTATTGAGGCTGGGACTTTGGGTAGTTTCAAATTTAGGTTGGATAAGTACATGAGTGGGAGGGGTTGGATTTGAGTGGGACTTTCACATCAGAGCTTATTTCTTGGGTAGCATTGAAAATTGGGTTGGGCAAATGTTTTGTTAGTGGGATGAATTGTAAAGGACCTGCCTAGTATGGGCCAACAGGCCTCCTGCAGTGTTCCTCCTTTCTTATGTTTCTTATGTGTCTGCAGGGGATATATGATTTATATATTAAAATATCTACGTATCAGGCCGCTTAGATATGATCTATAAATAATATCTGGGTATTGGGTTACACTATGCGGAACTTCTACGTAATAGGTGAATATCAGGTGGCCAGGAGAAGGACTTGCACTCAACAAGTGTCTCTTAGGTGACAAGTTAAAAAGATTTGGTTTAATTCGTCCGTACCAGGCAGCAAGGTAAATAATTTTAAGCGCTACTTTCGTATTCCGTTCAAAGATGATTTTAGTTAAGAAAACTCTCTACTTTTCGGGGATAAATTGCAATTATTTTCCCTCAAAGAACTCAATTGAGTTATGCCAATTTTTGATATACTTAACGTAATATAAGATCGTAAGATTTTATGACCAGGGGAGCAGCGTGTGTGCCCATTGGGCGAAACATTGTCAATAAAGGATCTCAGTATACTGCATATGTGTTTATTTTTTCCATCGTGTCAGCATTTATATCATTTATCTCCACCGCAGTAAGCCTACGTGGCCATGATAGGCGCTACCTTCCTAAATCCCGCCCTTCCCCTCCATATATTTGTCCAACCAAGTTTTTAAGTAGCTGACTGTGGTGGCTCCTGAATCTACATAGTTATTGTTAAATCCACGTACCTCTCTGTACAGTTTAAATAAATAAGCGGGTACAACAGCTGTGGTTATATTCAGCAGTCGTGTACACCCTACGTGGCCACACAGCAGTCGTGTACACCCTGCGTGGCCACACAGCAGTCGTGTACACCCTGCGTGGCCACACAGCAGTCGTGTACACCCTGCGTGGCCACACAGCAGTCGTGTACACCCTGCGTGGCCACACAGCAGTCGTGTACACCCTGCGTGGCCACACAGCAGCCGTGTACACCCTGTGTGGCCACACAGCAGTCGTGCACACCCTGCGTGGCCACACAGCAGTCGTGTACACACTGCGTGGCCACACAGCAGTCGTGTACACCCTGCGTGGCCACACAGCAGTCGTGTACACCCTGCGTGGTCACACAGCAGTCGTGTACACCCTGTGTGGCCACACAGGGTGTACATCGACTCCAAGCTGAGGGACTAATTACCTCAAACTCCTGATCTTTCTTCTTCGTATAGGACTGATGAAGCCACTGTGTGGCGAAACGTTTCCTCATTGAAAGATACCCAAGTGTTGCACATGTGTCTAACTTATCAACTTGTCGGTTCTCTGAACCATTTATCTACATCCATCTTCGTAAATTCTTCAGTGTATTCATATCCAGTGTGTAGCATGGGAACTAGAACAATGTTATATTATCTATACGAGACCTTACTAATGATAAGTAGGTGCAGAACTATAGCTTAACCTTGGGACTTCTTTTACTTATAATTTGTGTTTTTATTCCCGAGGAACCGTTGGTCTTATTATTAACATTTAGGCATTGGTGTCTCGCTAACAGTGACTCGTCTTGCTAACAATGACTGGTCTCGCTAACAAGGGCTGGTCTCGCTAACAAGGGCTGGTTGTTAGGTAAGACACATATGCAACAGTTAGGTATCTTTATTTCGAAACGTTTCGCCTACACAGTAGGCTTCTTCAGTCGAGTACAGAAAAGTTGATAGAAGCAGAAGATACTTGAAGACGATGTAATCAGTCCATCACCCTTAAAGTTTTGAGGTGGTCAGTCCCTCAGTCTGGAGAAGAGCATTGTTCCGTTGTCTGAAACAATATGAAGTTGAAGTGACGGAATGGGGCCTTATATAGGGCCAGGAGGTGAGACGTAGGTTGCATTGGGAGGGCAGGTCCCTCTCAAACCCAGCCGTTCTCACTAGTAGAGGTTGTCAAGTTGATAGTCTGTACCAAGATACCCTTGTGTTGCAGTGTCTGACAGAATGAACATTAAAATGGTATAAAATACCGACAGGTTGTTAGGTAAGACACATATGCAACAGTTAGGTATCTTTATTTCGAAACGTTTCGCCTACACAGTAGGCTTCTTCAGTCGAGTACAGAAAAGTTGATAGAAGCAGAAGATACTTGAAGATGATGTAATCAGTCCATCACCCTTAAAGTTTTGAGGTGGTCAGTCCCTCAGTCTGGAGAAGAGCATTGTTCAGTTGTCTGAAACAATATGAAGTTGAAGTGACGGAATGGGGCCTTATATAGGGCCAGGAGGTGAGACGTAGGTTGCTTTGGGAGGGCAGGTCCCTCTCAAACCCAGCCGTTCTCACTAGTAGAGGTTGTCAAGTTGATAGTCTGTACCAAGATACCCTTGTGTTGCAGTGTCTGACAGAATGAACATTAAAATGGTATAAAATACCGACAGGTTGTTAGGTAAGACACATATGCAACAGTTAGGTATCTTTATTTCGAAACGTTTCGCCTACACAGTAGGCTTCTTCAGTCGAGTACAGAAAAGTTGATAGAAGCAGAAGATACTTGAAGACGATGTAATCAGTCCATCACCCTTAAAGTTTTGAGGTGGTCAGTCCCTCAGTCTGGAGAAGAGCATTGTTCCGTTGTCTGAAACAATATGAAGTTGAAGTGACGGAATGGGGCCTTATATAGGGCCAGGAGGTGAGAGGGACCTGCCCTCCCAAAGCAACCTACGTCTCACCTCCTGGCCCTATATAAGGCCCCATTCCGTCACTTCAACTTCATATTGTTTCAGACAACGGAACAATGCTCTTCTCCAGACTGAGGGACTGACCACCTCAAAACTTTAAGGGTGATGGACTGATTACATCGTCTTCAAGTATCTTCTGCTTCTATCAACTTTTCTGTACTCGACTGAAGAAGCCTACTGTGTAGGCGAAACGTTTCGAAATAAAGATACCTAACTGTTGCATATGTGTCTTACCTAACAACCTGTCGGTATTTTATACCATTTTAATGTTCATTCTGTCAGACACTGCAACACAAGGGTATCTTGGTACAGACTATCAACTTGACAACCTCTACTAGTGAGAACGGCTGGGTTTGAGAGGGACCTGCCCTCCCAAAAGCAACCTACGTCTCACCTCCTGGCCCTATATAAGGCCCCATTCCGTCACTTCAACTTCATATTGTTTCAGACAACGGAACAATGCTCTTCTCCAGACTGAGGGACTGACCACCTCAAAACTTTAAGGGTGATGGACTGATTACATCGTCTTCAAGTATCTTCTGCTTCTATCAACTTTTCTGTACTCGACTGAAGAAGCCTACTGTGTAGGCGAAACGTTTCGAAATAAAGATACCTAACTGTTGCATATGTGTCTTACCTAACAACCTGTCGGTATTTTATACCATTTTAATGATGTTCATCTTGTCAGACACTGCAACACATAGCATCTTGATACAGAAAACACCTTGGACAAACTTTTCAAGTGAGAATTGTTGGATCTGAGAGGGACCTGACCTTTCAGTGGTTACATTCTCACTACTACTACTACTACTCTGCACCTCTCCTTCCGACAGTATTTAAGTCTCCGCACTGTCGCTTGATCTTCAGATAGTTCCTGACTATGGAACTGAACTTCTCCAGGCCGAGGGACTGACAACCTCAAATTCTACGACTTTAAGGGTGATGGACTGATTACATCGTCTTCTCTACTGTTCCTGCCTACTTTCTGTATTCGACTGAAGAAGCCTACTGTGTAGGCGAAACGTTTCGGAATAAAGTTGCCTAACTGTTGCCTATGTGTCTTACCTACCAACCATTTTAATGTTCATTCTGTCAGACACTGCAACACAAGGGTATCTTGGTACAGACTATCAACTTGACAACCTCTACTAGTGAGAACGGCTGGGTTTGAGAGGGACCTGCCCTCCCAAAGCAACCTACGTCTCACCTCCTGGCCCTATATAAGGCCCCATTCCGTCACTTCAACTTCATATTGTTTCAGACAACGGAACAATGCTCTTCTCCAGACTGAGGGACTGACCACCTCAAAACTTTAAGGGTGATGGACTGATTACATCGTCTTCAAGTATCTTCTGCTTCTATCAACTTTTCTGTACTCGACTGAAGAAGCCTACTGTGTAGGCGAAACGTTTCGAAATAAAGATACCTAACTGTTGCATATGTGTCTTACCTAACAACCTGTCGGTATTTTATACCATTTTAATGTTCAACAAGGGCTGGTCTTGCTAACAAGTGAACGTCTTCTTAAACATCCGGTCAGATCAGTTTTTAGGTGCCAGAGTTGTTTTCATTACCATGGATTAAAACTTTGCATTTTCCACATTAATCTGCATCTGACCTTTTTCCAACCATAATATAATTTGTCCAGATCATTTTTGTGTCATTAGGGAATTACTCATGCTGCTCTTAGTTCCTTCAGCATCATTAATATAGATTATGAACAACAAGGGGCCCAAAACTGATCATTGTAGGACACCATTTGTGACTCATTCCCATTCCAACTTTATTCCATTCATACAAACTCTCTGTTGCCTATAAGTCAGTCATATCTTGGTCCATGAGAGAACTTTACTTCCAATACCGTGTGCTGCCACTTTCTGTAGCAGTATCCCGTGTTAGAGTCTATCAAAAGTCTTACTGAAATCTAGGTAAGCAAACTCATATTCTTTATCTTGATCCTTCGCCGCAAATGCCACATTGAAAAAAGTCCGTAAATTTGATAGGCTGGAACTGCATCTTGTGAATCCCTGCAGCGCTGCTTGAAGTAAATTGTGTTCATGGAGATGGCCTCTAATTATATCTTCTATTATCCATGTAATAATTCATCCATTATTGATTTCGGGCCGATTGGGCAGTAATCTGATAGTAGTGACCTTCCCTCAGCTTCGAAAATATGATTCCCAATTAGCCATCTGTGGTATATCAGGTACGATACACCTTCGTAGTAATGTATAAAAAGTTGTTAACAACTCACTAGCACCATCTTGCCATCTTTATGATGACTTGAAAACAGTTTACAGTTGCCGGGCACTTATTTTGATTTAATTTGTTTATTTGTTTAATAACTGTGTCTCAGGTAACTAGTGTTTACCTAATTTCTGGGCTCTGTCTTTTTGTGTTAAGAACGGCAAGAAATTGTTAGTAAAAACTGAAAACATTTCTTTCTTATTATCACTATATATATATATATATATATATATATATTATATATATATATATATATATATAAATATATATATATATAATATATATATTATGAATGACATGGAAAGCATATAAATCTATAGGGGAAGGAAGGCGGGTAGGGGTCGTCCTCGAAAGGGTTGGAGAGAGGGGGTAAAGGAGGTTTTGTGGGTAAGGGGCTTGGACTTCCAGCAAGCGTGCGTGAGCGTGTTAGATAGGAGTGAATGGAGACGAATGGTACTTGGGACCTGACGATCTGTTGGAGTGTGAGCAGGGTAATATTTAGTGAAGGGATTCAGGGAAACCGGTAATGGGAAGTACAATGCCTGCACTTTAAAGGAGGGGTTTGGGATATTGGCAGTTTGGAGGGATATGTTGTGTATCTTTATGTGTGTATGCTTCTAAACTGTTGTATTCTGAGCACCTCTGCAAAAACAATGATAATGTGCGAGTGTGGTGAAAGTGTTGAATGATGATGAAAGTATTTTCTTTTTGGGGATTTTCTTTCTTTTTTTTGGGTCACCCTGCCTCGGTGGGAGACGGCCGACTTGTTGAAATATTTTTTTTTATTATTATCACACTGGCCGATTCCCACCAAGGCAGGGTGGCCCGAAAAAGAAAAACTTTCACCATCATTCACTCCATCACTGTCTTGCCAGAAGGGTGCTTTACACTACAGTTTTTTAAACTGCAACATATATATATATATATATATATATATGTATATATATATATGTATATATATATATATATATATATATATATATATATATATATATATATATATATATATATATATATATATATATATATATATATATATATATATATATATATATAAAGAGAGAGAGAGAGATGGACGAACTAGCATCAGGTAGAATTCAGTCTGGATTATAACTTTCTCTCGTGACTGCTGTGCA